GGAGAGCTTCTCAACATGACCCCACAAGGCCACAACCTTGTGTTCTTTCCTCCTCTGCCCCTTACATTTCACTATCACCTCACCCACAAAGTCAGATTCGGCAATTAATATGCCATTTTCCTCATCTTGAGGGATCAGTCCATATTTTTCTGCCCTTTGCACCCAGCAAACACTTGCCCTGAGCACCTTATGGCTGATGGAAACTGTGATGGCCTCTACTGGCACACAACAATTGGAGAAGGATTCTCCAGCAGTTTCATGCACTCCTGAGAGCATTTTTCATAAGGCCACATTTTATTTTCTGAGACAAAATAAGAAGTTGTTAGGAACTGTGTCACCTTTTCCTCAAATGAAAAAATGTGCCTTTCACCACCCCCTGCTCCAAGAGCTCTCCAGATTTTCTAACCAACAATTTCAAGGACCATAGTTTCAGGATTTTCGCACTTCCATGAGACACAAGGGAAACAAGACAGAGAAATAAGGAGAGGAAGAGTAGATGCTGCTGAAAACTTTGCTCATTTAATGAAGGGGGTAGCAAAACTTGTGCTTCTTTAGAGTGCAATCAATGAATACTAAAGATGACAGTAAACATGCCAGTTGCTGACAGCCACATGGCTACCCCATAATCATGGAAAGGGTTCGCTTCTCACGTAGCACTCAGAATCAGGGTCACGGTGTCAGGTTCAGAGAGATGTCTCAGCCAGCAGATTGTTCCACACTTTGCTCCCTCAGATCTGTATTCTGAGCTTGGTTTAGCTGTTCTACCCAGCAAAAGGGAGTTCTGAGCTAGTGAAGATTTCATTCCCACGTGCTGACCACTTTAATGAAAAGCTTCATCTTGCCAGCGTAATGCTCTTTAAATTGACCATCCTTGCAGTACTTGTGCCTTTTGATCCACTGCCTCTCATAAAACTGGCTAACCTTTAAGTTCATTATGTTCTTAAAAATATTGCTATGTTCTTAAAATCATTGCTCTGCATTTAGAGAGTGAAACTATTCACCAAATTAGTATGTCATATCTGAGCTACCTCCCTTTAAATTTCTAGTTTCTCCATTTAAGTGGAATTGACTTGCCATGGCACAATGAAAAGAAGATCAATAATTACAGACTCCAATTTGTGATAGATTTGTTAAACTTCACTCCCTGCTGTCATATCCTCAATAGTTATGGTCAAAGCTACATCCTCACAATCTGTTCTAGCTACATTATATATGCCTCAGCCTTCCAAATACACAAAGGAAACCAGCTGGAAACACTGCACTTAATGTTATCAGTGCAGACTGTATCCATCTACATGACTGTGCCCTCAAGAGGTTACAGACAGCATAACTTCCACCTCAGTTGTCATTTCTTTGAAGCAGCCCAAGAGACATGCCCAGGAAGAATGGTCTGAGAGACCACAGTAGATGTTTGCCAGCTGTGGACTGCAGACCACTGACATCCACTGCAGAAAAGACTGGCCTTGGGGTGTTGGACACTTCTTGTCACCCACCACCAAACGGCCTTAGAAAAAGCTAAAAGCGTCACTTTTCATGCAAGCAATTGCTGTAATGGCTACAGAGCTGCCACGTGATCATGTATGGGAAAGGAAGTGGCTCCCACAATTGCAAACAGAAGGAAAAGTCTACGATGCAATCTTTCTAGTAGGAACAGAAACCTGACATGTTTCATCCCAGATGCACCTGAAAATACATGTATACTCTATAGCCAGGATCATCTGAAATAGCAAATACAGACTAAGTATATAGGAATGAGCAATAACCAAAGAGCCCTTCTACCTCTGCCTAGATCTGCAATTTCTTGCAGGTTCTGCCATTCAATTTTTATCAGAAGAGCAGATTTATGGTAAAAGCACCCATGAATAATTCACTCCCTTGATCTGCCACATGCAACTTGGGGAAATCCCAGCTATAAAACCTTGGCACCATTTAGCTAGCACAAGCTGCACTAGTTTTTTACAGGTGTTATTCCACTGACCTACTTGGAGTTATTCCTCCTTCACAGTGCTAGAAGAAAAGGATCAGGCTGTTTGCTTACCACCTCTGGTAAGCAAACCTCTCTGCCACATCTTCATAGCAGTAAAAATGCTTCTAGTGTTGGACTAAGTTTTAGCTTTGGCTCACCACAGCTTCAGTGGCTTGTACATCTCCTCTGCTCTTGGGCCTCCCATAATAATCCATTATTCACTGGCTTACTTCCTCCTAAAGTCTGTGTTTTTAAATCATGTTGAGAAACTTACTTGGATCCTAAACAAAAGGAGCACAAGAAAAGCCATAAACTAGCTACACTGAACCTGTCTTTATGCTGGTTTCTAACTTCAAGAGAAATATGGTTTATTCCAATACTCATCCTCTGCCACTGGAGCAAGACCCCCAGCAGGGTATGGGTGCAGATGCCTGAAACAAAAAGAAAGTGAAACCGTTTAGCCACCTCCCTGTCCTAACACAGAGGATTAATTACTAGCATCACTCAGTGGCTGCTTATTTTCCTAGGCTTTTCCATATATAAAGCTAGGTGGGAGCTCTACTTCACAATAAAAATAAAAAAAAAAAAATTATAAAGGTTTTATTTTATTAGATCTCTAAGAGGATACCAACTAAAATGACAATGACTGCACTGCCACCAAGCCACATTCAAAGCCCATGGTGTACAACTACACCTACAACTGCATTACAGGGAACAAAGAGATGGCATTCCTTGCTTGTAAATAAGGTGAACAGCTCACGGCTATCTTGACATAAAACAAGATAATAATTATAGTGCCTAAGTTAGACATCTGAGTAAATGTAGTCACATTATTTAAATAATTAATCTACACTGATTTATAGCAGCTAAGGATCTGATGAGGGATGTAAGAAACTCCTCTTTACCCTAATATGTCCCTTCAGTTTATCCAAATTACTGGCTTTCACCACCTGGCCTCTCCCTTGTGCCTCCACAGTTAGGTTTTAAGCAGGTTAAGAAATGGCAGTCCTCACTTTGGTCTTTTCTTACACACTTCCAGCAGTGCTGAATGAAATGAGAGACAACCATAAAAGCCAATAGAGGGGAAAATTAGACATGCTGTGTAACTAATTTCTGAACTGTAAGCAAAGTTGTTGGCAATTTTCATTTCATATCACAGGTTCACGTTTCTTTGAACTGCCACATACTGAGAACAAGCACTGGCTGCTCATGCCCTTCCAGGCAGGATGGGATGCTGCCTGGTCAGCTTGGACAAGTTTAAGAGGTTGCCATGGTGTGCTCCTTCTCCAGGAGCCACCATCCTGCCTCAGAGAAGGGTGCACACCTTCAGCTCACACCGTGTCATGGGGAGCAGGGTTCCTCCTGAATCCCCTGGCCACATGCCCACTGCTGGAGCTGCCCTGTTTGCTGGGGTGGCTGTAAGCAAACAGCTGTAAGCTCGCCTGCCAGCCCTGCTCCACAGGCACACAGGGGAGCATGGTCACGAGAAAGGGGCCAAATGCAAACTAAAACCAGATGAGCCAAGATAGCCGTTGGAAAGAGGGGGTGGTTAAAGCCTGTGACGGCTCTAAGTGAAAATAGTCAGACAAAGCGGGCTTGCAGATTGTCACCAAACTGAGAACCTCCTCCACCCCCAACTGCCTGGCTGGAACTGTATAATGGGGCAGGTTTCAAGAAACCACAGCTCCCAGCAGAGTTAACTCTCCAGCAGCTGCTGCACTTTCAAATTGTCAGACAGATTAAACACAGGAATGCCTGTGTGTCACAAAGCTCAGGGAAGGGTGAAGTGATGGGGTCAGCTTGCTCTGAAGTGCACAAACTACTCAAAAACTTGGAGACAGGACACCCTGTGGCCAGGAGGGAGTTACACTGGTATCGTCTGGCAGAAGGCTTGGCACAGGGCCCTTTCAGCTGTCCTCACTAAGCTGGACAGTTAGTGGAGTTTTTGTCTTGTGCTTCCTTATAAGCTGCAGTCGCGGCATGGAACCGGACTGCCCTTGCAGGGCAAGCGCCTGTTTGGAAGGGAGAGAAACAGGGCTTCCACTAGAGTCCACTACTTTGGGGCATGAGCCAGGGAGCCTGGCTGGGACCAGATTCTGCAGGGCACCCAAAAAGCTGGCAGCACCTGCACTGCCTCAGCACCCAAAGCTCAGAGAAACACGTTACCTTATGGGGACAAGTGCGTGTGTGTGGTGGAGCACTTGCATCAGGCAAAAGTGAGTGCCACTGATCCGCATGTCACCGATGACAAGAGGGTGATGATTTACTGGGAAAAGTGCCCTGTAAAAGCATGCTTGTGGATCCTATTTATTGTCTCATACCCTTCAAATACTCTTACAGTTACGAAGACGCCACACAATTACAAGTTAGAAAAAGGAACGGAGGTAATTCTCCCACACGCTGTCTAGCCCATGGAGTCAACAAACCTGCGGCACCATCGGCAGGCAGCATGGGTCAGCCAGCCCAGCAGGGCTCCTCCCAGGAGATGGTGGGCCACCTCCACTAGGAATAAACAACCCACACTTCAAACCTGGGCCAAAGCTTGTTGCCAGATACGTGCAGCTGCAGAGAGCAGAGTTGGAGGAAGCTCTGCCAGTAACAGGGGTAAGAAGGAGAAAGAGAGGTTGTTCCCACACAACACAGCCTCTCCTCTGCCAAACCACAATGCTTCATGTGGATCTGTAGCCCACATGCTTCTTCAGGTACCTCCAACTCAGCTATGCTGCGCTGGAAACTACAATCCACAAAACTGCTGAGAAGATGCTGGCCCACAGAAGTCGACTTGCCACACAGCTCTCAAAGGTCACATAATGACCAGACAGGGACTTGAGCACAAGAGAGCCCAGGCCACTGTGTCTTTGGGCCACATTCAGGCAGCCACACAACCAGCTCAGTCGTTGAGGGAGCCAAGCAGTCTCCCTTGCTAGGAGAAACTTTGAATCACGCCCTCCTCTTCCCAAAGCACCAGAAGAGTCTCCACACAAGCAAACAAACAGCCTGGACATCCCCATCCCCTCACCACAAAAGCACTTACCCCCAAGGAACTGGATTCCTCCTGCAACCCTGCCCACAGTCCTGGAGATGAGCTCGGACACACAGCAGCCCATGAGCGCTGTCAGGGCCACCAAGAGAAGCAGCCCGCAGCCCAGGCCCGTCACCACCGTGCAGATCCTCCACTCGGCGCTCGGGATGGCCTGGAAGGAGGCATAGCGGCCACACTGCTCCACCATCACGGTCATCTGGCGGCTCTCATCCCGCACTGGGTAGGAACACCTCCGGAAAGTGCCGAAGGAAACAGACTTCTCCAGCTGAGACCCCAAGAGCCAGTAGGGCATGAAGAAGCCAACACAGGAGGCAGCAGCACAGAGGAAGGAGAGGAAGGCCCAGACGATGCCAGCACAGGTGAGGCTGGAGGCCATCTTTGTGTCTGCTCCAAGACCCCACAAGATGGGAAGACAAAAGTAACTGTGTATTTTAGAGGAGCTTTATGGATAATCCGGAATCTCTCAGCCTTGACAAATCCTCACACTGGGAGAAGCTTGGATCTGAAGAGGCGGGGGGATATTTCCTCCCATCATGAAGTCAAAGGTCCCTAATTAAATAACAAAACACAAAAAAGGAGAAAAATACAAGTTCAGTAACGCTGACATTAGAAAAAAATATTTATCTGCCAGAACGTTTTTCCTTCCTAGAAGACTTCTGAATAAGACATGTCACTTTTCTGTCCCACCCTTGCAAGCAGACCCTAAAATCACTCTCAGTGACACCAGTTTCTGTGGTCAGTGTGATGGTGGTGGCCAGCAGCCCAGCTGGAACAGGCTGCTGAGCACATCCAGGAATGCTCTGCAGCCACCTTCAGGGGTCTCCTGTGTACTTGCCTCTCTTTTCTCCACTGTAAGTCCCGATCTTTCCAGCACCAATAGAAAAAACAGATAAGGTCTTGCTTATCCTCAGTTCGCTAGACCTTCCTCCTACAATGCCTGGAGAATGTACTTCACTTTATAGATGGTCCTGCAGCTTCAGTGCAAAACCACCCACAGTGGCTAAGGCATTTCAAGTTCAGACTCTTGTGACACAGGTAAAACTTATTAACACAGTCCCAAAAGAAGTGATATGAGATGACATGTTTCCCAGCACTCCAAGTTGTTTGGCATCTCTGTGCAAAAGGAGCCTTTTATCACTTGATGTCCCAAAGTGCCAGGAACCCAAACTCCAAGTGGGCTTCTGGTAAGTAAAAACACTGCCACATCTTTTCACCCCTACACAACCTCAAGGAGCTCACAATTAAAACACAGAGGTCTCTCTTAATATTCCTGCTTGCATTCAGCCCAGCTCTTCTTTGCCTCTTCCCAGCTCAAACCCAGGAGCCACAACCCTTTGTATCCTTCTCAGACAACTCCCAGCCTCTCAGCTCCATATCAGTGTGGCCAAGTGCATTTTACTGTCACAGAAACCTACATGCTCTTCCCAGAGGCTGGGGGTGTATTTGTCGTTAAATTCATGTTGGATCATTATTCTAACTGCATTTGTAAATTTATGATCATTTCTCACAGTTGCTGCCAAATTAATTCTGATAGCTATTTACAGGGGCTTTTTCTTCTAAGCATGATTAGACGCCAATCAGTGAATCCAATTCATGAAAAGGCAATAAAATGAATACTACTTCAGCACAAGGAGGGAACTTAGAGAAAGTCTGTAAATGAAATTAGCCATGTGCACTACACAAAAGTTTTGTTTACTTTTAAAACACTAAGAAAAGGAAGTCTCTTCTGTAATATTAAAAAGGCCCATACTGCTACTGAAGAAGTGTTCACCTATCTACCCGTAGCCTATCCACAGAAATGCCTTTCAACCTGCAAACCGCCAAGCCCCTGGGGATAAAAACCTGGCAGAGACGCATGGGCGGGGGGCACCATTTCCTTAGAAGCATCGTCTAGAAAAGGATCTGTCTGTGTCTTGGCGTGGCACCAAAAGTCTAAGACAAAGTGTGTCAGCACTTAGGGGAGATCATTCCCTGAATCGCAGGAGGAGATACGTCTGGAAATAGGGGACAACATGGAGTGTCCCAGGGTGTGACCCGGCAAATCCTGCTGCTCCAGCGGGGCAGCAGCTTTGCCTCCCTGGAGCCTGTCAGCTCACAGCCTGGGCGCTCTCCCGGGAGGCGGGCTCACCCCTCCGGCCCCGAAACCCCGCTCCCCGCCCGCCAGGGGTAGGAGGGGGCGGCGGAGAGATACGGCTTCCCCCGAGGGAAGGCGGCGGCCAGGAACCAAAACTCGCCGGGGTGATGCCAGGGAAAAACTGCGGGCGAGCGGGCGCAGCGCCCGCGGAGCCGGCAGGGTGGGGAGTACCGGGCGGGGCGGGCTGGGGTGCAGGGAACCTGAGAGGGGCAGGGGATCCGAGAGGGGCAGGAGACGAGGGAGGAGAAGGGTTTGTGGGAACAGGGGGTCCAAGAGGAGCAAAATGGGAGGGAAAGGAGATGCGGCCGGGGACGGGCTGGAAAGGCAGAGGTGCCGAGAGTGTGGGGAATCCCAGGACCCAAGAGGACGGAGAGCAGGGAAACTGCGGGGCCGGGAAGGGAAAGCGGTCCGGGGTGGCAGGGAGATAAGGGAAAGACGGGGCCCCGGGAGAGGAAGGATTCGGGAAGACAAGAGGATGAGAGGGCTGGGAAGCCGAGCAGGAAAGGGAGTCTAGAGGGTCCGGTGCAACGGGCAAGGGATGCGGCTAGGCTGGGTGTCAGAGCGGGGAAAGGGAACGCAGGAGAGAAAGAGGGTCCGGGGATGCAGGGGATGTGGCAGTGCAGGGTAGGGAGGGGTCGGGGAGGGAAAGGACGTTCTGAAGGCTGGAGGATCCGGAGTCGGAAGGGAATGCAACGTACCGGCAGCGAGAGAGGGCAGGGGCTAGAGAAAGGAAGGGGGTGCAGGGGGTCCGTGAGGGGCAGGGGATTCAGCCGCGCATGGAGTGCGGGAGAGTCGGTGTCTGGAAGGAGCAGGAGCAGCGAAGGGTTTAGGAGCGCCAGGATGGGGGCAGGCGCGGTGCCGGGGAGCGAAGGGCTACTTACGGACACGCCGGGCGTGGAGGCTGCCCGCCGCGGCTGCCGGGAGCACATGGGCGCGGGGCCGCCGGGCGGCGGCCGCCCCAAGCGACTCTACCCGCGGTCCCGGCGCGGAGGCGACGCGGGTGCTCCGAGGCGGGCGAGACCGGGACCGGGACGCTCCCCAGCCCGGCTCGTCCTTTCCTCCGCGCGTTCCTCTCTCCCCCCGTCTGATTCCTCGGGAGGCAGCGCACTCCGCCGCCTCTCCTCCCCCTTCCCCGCCACCGCCTCCCCGGGCGGGACCCGCCGCGGTCGGCGCAGTTGCGGGGCCGCGGACGGGGCCGGGGGCGAGGGGCCGGGCGGCGGCGGGGGAGCGGCGAACGGGAGAGCGGGGGCGCGTCCCCGAGTCCTTTCGGGGCGGGGCGGTGGTCCCGGCCCCGCGGGATCGCTGCGGGGGTGGGTCCCGGCTTCCCGAGCCCGCCCCGGACTGCGACGGGGGGGTCTCGGGTCCCGGGGCCGGGTCGGTGCGGGGGTGGCGGGGAGCGCTGCGGCGTCGCCGGGCTGGGCGGCTCAGTGCGGGGTGCAAGGGGCGGTGAAGCCGGGGACGGAGAGGAGGAAAGAGCAGGAGAGAAGAGGGGGGGAAAGACAGCGAAGAAGGAGTATTTGAAGGAAAGGGGGAAGGCTGCAGTCCTTACATGGGGAAATCTCCTGATGGTGTTCGTGTGATAAGAACTGTGTCTGTCTCTGCACGCGAGCTGCTGATCCAGCATTTTGATCGCAACAGTTCCCGAGTTGGTCTACAGCGAGAGCAAATGTGATCACAGTACCAAGCAGCTCCTCTCGGATGGGTTAGGTCTAGCGGAGAGCCAGGAGCTTCAGCCCTTTCCCAGAGTGTCTTAAGTGGGAAAGTTTTGAGGAGCGGTTGCCTTCTGCACAGAGAGCCTCTGGGAGAAAAAGACATTTCCCATTCTGGTTTTTCCTCTACGCCCAGAAACATGAATATATTTATCAGATACAAGACAATTTTATGACAGGTTTAAATTGTGTCAGCACCAGACATGCAAAGTCTCTTTGGTAATGTTTCTTTTACAGTCCTGGCATGTAATTTAAACACCATTCATTAATATTATTCATGCTAAATGGAAGTGAGGTTTATTGCTCTCAGTCTGCATTTACACCATTTAATAGTAACAGCAGCTATTTTCAGAATTGAATTACAAAGCCACTTTATTGTATTTTTAAAATTAGACTTCCATTTTTTTCCCCGTAATACAAAGTCTTAAAATCAGAATATAACTGAAAATGCATTCTTTCTCAAGAGATAAGAAATGGATTGGAAAGTATCTAGCATGATGAAGTCTTCCACCCTAACATTTCAAGTGTATTTAAGGAAACATGCTTCAAAAAATCAAAAAGTGAGTTAAATGTGGGCTGAATGCTAGAATATATGCAATAAAATACTCCACAAGGAAGACAATGAAGGCAACCCCAAAGCAGCCATACCCACAGCTGACTACCCCTATCCACCTAGTATACATCTACATTAGCAAGTCATGTGGATCACTCTGGTGTTGGATCTCATGGTGTCGAGGGCCTAAGTGATGTCACACTTTTCCATAGTTTTTTCTTCAGTTTCACTCCAGGTTGGGTCTGTGAACTGAGGGCCCCATGAGAACTCAGACCACATCTGATGCACTCCTGGCACCTGTCTTCTGCTATATTGCTGTCTGAATCCACTCAGTGTACTCACTTCTGCTGGGCAAAATAAAACATGGTAAGTGAGGATGATCTGGAGATTCACTTCAAAAGCACACCCTTGATCCACACCAAAACATGAAAGTGGATGTGCCCACGGGGTGTCTGACAGAAAGGGAGCTGGTATGACTTTCCTAAAGCTGAGAGCTGGAGCCTGCTCCACAGCATACCGTTCCATCATCCTCCCCTCAAACCACCTTTCCGCCCGGTGCTGTGTCTCTACCCCCAAGCATGCACGAGCTCTCAGGTCTCCACTTTTGCAAGGAGCTGTGCACGTTTTGGAGAGTGTAGCCACTCCTCATTTACTGCTCACATGCCTTCACTTGGCTCAGTGTGGTGTTTTACCCCCTGCTATTCATTTTGCCAATGCCTGAAATGACAGGGATACTAAGCTAACACTGTGCCAATGGAACTCTGCTCTTGGTGTAAAGAAAGAGAAGAATTGAGTATTTTATTAAATAGTTGTTTAATTGTTTAAAGACTGAGGTCTGTCATTCTTTTCTTAGCCAGAGGCCTGGGTTATAATGAAACTGTGATAAATATGTCTAAATTAGGCATGTGTTGGGATCAGACATGGGTAGAAATTGCCTGGCATTAAAATGACTGTGGAAAAACTTCTGTTTCACACATGGAAACTGTTTCTCAGTTAAAATTGGCATTGGAAGCCTAGGGAGAAGCAAACAAGCATGAATTTATTCATGCAATTTATCTCTTCCATGATATATGCCAAGGTCCCCAAGTCAGTGTTTGCTTTGCTAATGGCATCTCTACAGCAGTTCATTTATTTGCCTTATATGGCCTGTACATTCACTCCCTGAGCTGCTGCCATTCTGCTTTCCCTCATGGAAACTGTACATTGAATTCTGCATCTCTCCTGAAGCATCTCATTTTGCCAAATTCTCTGAATGCCCCCACAAGCTGGCTGCATGGCTTAGTCGCTTGCAGGGAAATAAGCTTTATTTCACAATTCATATTCTGTCCAGGGAGTTTTGTTTTGATTAGGAACAAATTAAACACATTGTGTATATAAGGTAACATCCAAACCCTCATTCCATTTTCTTCTAATGTTTAAAACTCATCATGCTTCAACTGTATCAACATTTGATTTGCCGTTCAGGATCATTGTGCTTGAAAGTATTTTACTTGAAATTTAGCTGCAATATTTCTATCCCTGTCTAACCTGTTCGAAAGAAAAGGGGAGCTATTACATTGTGCTTTAGGATTCACAATCTTTCTCACAACCACAAAAGCAGATACCTTCTCAGAATATAGCAATAACAAAACACATGGTCCCCATGGTTTTGTCTATACTGAAATAGCAGCTAGTTTTAAAATTGGTCCTGGTGTTTTTTGAATTTCTTCACTTGTGAAAAATCTTCATAGTTGGTCACCTGGAACCTGAGCTGCGGATTACCCTCTGCTGCAACCACTGAAGTCAGACCAGATCAAACACCCATGAATACATTGTCAGAAAACTACCCCAGCAGGGAGATGGAAAAATGCTTATAGATTTTGCCATTTTGCTTCTCCTCAATCCATTGACTAAGCTGCTGTTACAGCTGGGGCACTACAGGCTTGATGGAGCTAATCAGCATTGCAGAATAAAGACAGAAAATCCTGTCACTGTACCTAAATCAATCCTGGCTAATATACACATCACAGGCTCAACCACAGACACTTTCACTACAGTATGACTTGTAAGACAACATAATAAGCCATAGGGGAATATGTATGTTCCTGTACCCAAGGAAAACGAAACAGCTACCAAACCCATCTCATTCTTTAGTCTTTGACCAGAAAATGAACCAAAAGAGTTTTATCTTTCAGGCCACCATCTGTTTTCAGTTGTGCAGTCTGCAGGAAAGTGATCACACCAACATGGTTCCGAGCATCTCACAAAACTGGATCTTCAGGTCATGTCTGTACTCGATTTTAAATCAAAAAAGAAGGTATAGGTACAAAAATAGACTTGAGGCTATGTACTGGGAGCAACAGAAAGTCAACCCAATTATTCAAATACGGTCACTGAAAACCAAACAGACAAGTACTGTTAGAGAAATAACCTGATAATTAGTACATTTGCCTGAAATTATGTCCAATCTCACAGCAGCTAGGGGAAAAAAAATCAATTAAACAGACATGAAAAGAGAACCTCAACTTTAACATCTGATAATTTCTCAGAGAAGGTAAGAAAACAAATTCAAGTGACCAGATCCTGTCCATCTGTATGGTGTCATTCCAAGTCAAACAAATTTCATGTTTTCTACTGTGGGTGGAACTAGACACCTGGGGTTTCGAGCTGTCCCATCCAGACCTGAATCTTGGCCAATAAACTTATCTCTAACCAAAAGAGCCTCTCTCCACTTCTATTTTAGTACTATCCTGTCATCAACACTTATTTTTCTGGTGGTTCTAATAGTGATAAATTTTGTGAATTCTCTTACTAACAATTTATAGCAAAACTTGCCATATTTCTGAAAGACAATTGTCTTACACAATGCTGTTGTTGCTAACATCAGTCTTTTAATCTCTGGGTGCACATAAAAATAACATGTCAATGCAAAACAAAAGAGGAAAACAATCTTTATTATTTGCCATAAACCCTCCGTATGTTGTTTCATTTTTATGAAGTTATTACTTATCATCTATTATATAAAAGCCACCAGGTGCTCTACATTTTGCAAGGCTCTAAAATAGTAGCCACAGCTATTGATTTTCTCTTTTGTGTCCTGTTGTTGACAAGGTTGGTGGCTGTGGGAGAGGCCAAGGAGGTTTATTCTGCACCAGCCCCTTGGCTGAAGGGAGGAATGCCTGTTCTGCCCTTGCAAACGCCGCCACAGTGACTGAGCTCTGAGATTAGAGGTCCCAGACCCGTCCTCCTTTACCAGGGAATTGTCTTAGCCCTGCACAAACTCACGAAAAACATGGTTGGTTTCAATCCTAAATTTTCACTATTTTTAATCGGACTTTTAAAATAAGGAACATCTGGATGATGAACGAGTGACTTCCCAGTAAGAAATGCTTATCTATTGGCAGCCTGCTTTCTGTGCATGCAGATCCAATACAAATAATGTAGTAGTGTCATTTTACTTAGGAGTGGGACACCTGTCTATGTTCCTCTGATGCTGGTAAAGAAAGATGCGGGGAACGTACTAAGAGCCGGTCTTGCCGCGCTGCTTTCTCACACTGAGCGGCGGGCGCGTCTGGAGACATGGCTTTGTTTGACGACACGTGCAACAGAAAGAAGATTTTTCTTTTCCCTTTAAAGCCTCAGTCCGGGATCAGCTTTCAGCAGGAGGTCACAGTTTCGGCGCAGGGCCCGGAGCGCTCCGGTGTGCCGGCGATGGGTGCCCGGGGCGGCGGGCGCTGCGCTGCGCTGCTCGACAGTGACACTCGGTGGGCGGCGGGGCCGGAGCAGGGCTGGGGCCGNGGGGCTGGGGCGGCCGCCACGGGTGAACGCGGGCCGGGGGGCCCTCGCACCGCCCGGCCCCGCGGGGCTGCCGCGGGCTCTGCCCCGGCCCCCCCGGAGCGTTTGACGCGGCTGCAGACGAGGAAGGGCGT